CTTTCTGATCATAATGAAAGAAAATTATGTTAGTATGGAAAGATAAGAGAAAAATGTCCAAATGCTCAGAAATTAAATGACATGCTTCTAAATATTAATGGTCAAAATGGAATTCTGACCAAAAATTAGAAAATATTTTAAAATGAACAAAACTGAAAATTCAGAGTATTAATATTTATTTGAAACAGCTAAAGCAGTGTCTAATGGGAACTTTCTTGAAATCAATGTTAAACTTTGTGAGAAAGAAGAAAAATCTCAAAAATGTAACATTCTAATTTAAGAAGTTGAAAAAGAAAATCACAATAAGTCCAAAGGAGAAGTTAGGAAATCTGATCAGAAATAATGAAGTTGAAAAAAGAAAAACAACAGAGAAGAAAAGTGAAATAAAAATCTGAGATATGCTTAAAAGATAAATGAAATTGATGAATCTCTGGTAAGACTGGCAAAGAAAAGGCAGGTAAGAAATGAAAATAGATAATATCATTATAAATATTACAGACATTAAAGGAATCAGAAAGGAAAATTCCAAATAAGTATATGGGAACGCATTAACAACTCTGATTAATTGATTTCTCAAAAGTCACAAGTTATGAAAACTCACCTAAGATAAATAATCTCAATACAGTCCTATACTATTAAAGAAACTGAATTCATGCCAGGTACAATGGTGAGTCCCAGCAACGCAGGAGGCTGGGGCAGGAGAATCATGAGTTCAAAGCCAGCCTCAGCAGATTAGTGAGGCACTTAGCAACCTAGCAAAACCCTGTCTCTAAATAAAATATAAAAAAAGGCTAGGGATGTTGCTTACTGGTTAAGCACCCCTGTGTTCAATTCCCAGTACCAAACAAACAACAACAAAAAAGGAAACTGAGCTCCCCCAAAAGGAATCTTATGCCCAGACTGTTTGGTGAATTTCATCAAATGTGAAAATAAATATATAAATAAAAATCTACATTACACAATCTAAAAAAAGAAAGAAAGAAAAGATAGAAATACAGAAATCACACTGTAGAACATGAAGAATAGGATCTCTAGGATTAAAATGACTACAAATCATTACTAATATCATCTCTCAATGGTGGGATTGACACTTGCTTTGAACCATGTTTTTTTTTTTTTTCCCCTATCTTTCAAAGTCTGAAGCTCTGGAATCTACAGAATTCTGTCACATCATTTTAGTTACTACAGATGGTGCTGCAGCAAAACTTTCATTTCTCTGTGTGTGTTGCATGCTCATTTGTGTCCATGCACATAAGCATGTGTGTGTTTGAGTGTGTCCTTTATATCTTAGTTGTTTTATGGAATAAATACCTATGTCTGGAACTTGATGGCCAAATGAAGTTTCTTAAAAATTAAATAAATTAGAATGGGCAAATTACCCTCCAATATATCAATTTATGCTCCCACCAAGAATTGAAAAGACTATTTTTCAGCAATCTCACCAGCATTAACTATTATGATTTAAACCTTTTTTGATCAGAGAGATATGATAAATATGTCATTGTTTCAACCCATACAATTTTTATTAGTTGAGAAGTTGGAAATATTATGTCCATTTAACATTTGTATATTCATCATGTGTGAATTACCTATACCCGTTGCCTATGGGGGGAATTCAAATTCCTCATTACTTTTTAAGCATTCATTTTATTAGGGTTGTTAAACCTTTATCATTAATTGTAATTTTTAAAATTTATATTATTTTATATATAAAATTTTTAGCCAGATTTTTTTCAGTCTTATCTTTTAAAACTTCCAAGCTTCACATTATATTTTTATAACAATAGTTACCACATTTGGACTACTTTTCCCCTTCCCAGTTTTGATCAATTCTAGTCATTCTTCAAGGTCTAAATACAAATCACCATCTCTTTAAACTATTGCCATTCTTTCTCTGGTAGACTAAATCATTACTTTTTAATGCAACTTTTTAAAATACACATATATCTGAGTAGCTTTTGTAGGGAATTTTATTCACATTTGCTTTTAATGCTGCATTCCTGCCTTTGTAAAGTAAGAGACTTTATGATTTTTTCATCCACATCATAAACATCACAACATATAGTAGGTGCTAAATAGTTACTGTGGTTACACCAGTATGCATGACTGAAATCATGTAAATTTTGTGTCATTTAAGAGGCAGGGTATTATGCTAGGTGCTACAGCCTAAGCCTTTCCAGATATCTGGTTATTGACCTGTTAATATGTAGAAGTGAAGGCCCTTCACATTTATCTGGAATCATGCAACAAGAATTTGCAAAAACAGATCATGTTAGATAATTACCACTCATTTTCCTAGGGAAAAAAAATCAAACAGTTTTAAAGGGTTTTCCTCCATGTGCAGGAAATATGCAAATGCAAAAATTAAGAGTAATGTGGCCAGTACCAATCATTTCAAGTTGTTCACCTTTTGAAGATAGGATAGGCAGGCTTACACATTTCACAAATAATATAAAGCTGAAATATAAAGTAATTTATTAAGTGACAGACTCAAAAACCAACAAGGTCTTGAAAAGATAGTTAAAATAGGATTGTTTGAGACACCTTCCTTTACTGTCCCAAAGAATTTCGTTTTCAGTGATATAGAACAAGACACAAAGACAATTCCCTGTAATTCATTTCAACTCTCCCCTGTTAATCAGAATAAAACATTTGTGATTCCATCACAACTAGTTATTAAGGTAAAGTTTACATGAAAAATCAACACAAAATGGAATGAATTTCCCAATGTCAATATTTCTGTCATTAATAAGCTGACACGTCTTTTCATGTCCAAGGGTTGAATTTCTTGCATAGGAAGAGAATGCTTGGCTGAGATTCCCAACTTAATAAAATATTATACTGATGAGGAAATTAATTCATGTGCAGACTTTGGAAACTATTTAGCAAATGGGTTGTACACACAAAAGTGAAAATCTGCTATTAAGTAATGGAAGAAAAAATCCTCACATCCTTTGTAGCAACAGGCTAGAATGATGAGGAAAAAGGTGGCTTTTAATATACAAACAGTAAAACCAATTAATAGTATCCTGAGCAAGTCTAGCCTTTTACTTCTTCTGCTGCTGAGGACTATTATGACCTAGTCCCATCTCTGTGATGGTAACATGTAGACACATACGATATGAAGATACTGGAAGAATTCTGAGTCAAGGGAAGACCCAGGATTCACATAGAATAAATGTCTCAGTTCTTTGGAGACAAAATCAGGGCCACCACAGATAGGCAAGCTCCTCTTTTCAGTCAAGTTCATTCTTGCTCTAATTTTATATACCTTTCCATACCATTGCTCCAAGGGCCCTATTTTGTTTCCTTCATCCTATTCCATTTTTTCCAGCTGTTTCTGAATCCCCTATTATAGGGACCTACTATATAACCTCAAGCACTAGTCATGATGAAAAATATGGCCCCTGACCTTTAGAAACAGAGAAATAAACAATTCATACTGGTTGGAATGTATATGAAAGGGATTCACATAGAAGGAGGACGAATAGGACAATGAAGGACAGATAAGAATTGGATAGAGAGGAGAAAAAAATGGAAATGGTATTTTCAGGGAGAACATTTCCAAGAATACAAAGAAGTTAAAAACAGCATGACACTTTAAGAAACCACATGATTCAGTATGTAAAAAGATAATAATAATAGAAATAGAACTTTAAAAGCTTGTGATCCTCCACTTTAAACTTATAAGTCTTTACCTACTTCTATAAATCCAACAGTAACAGTGGAAAAATCTCTACAGAAAATACAAAGACAGTTTTGCCAAAGTAGGTACTACCCATCAAAATGCAATATTTTATGTGAACTGGGAATATCCTAATTTTAAGTTACTGTCAGTCAAATAAGAGTTTACACATCTTCATGTTCACTTATAATGCATCCAAGACCCTGAATGACCCAACACTTGGAATTATCTGACAACTTCAGTAGTCCAAAGATAACTGGGAACAAATCTGTATTGAAATGAAAAGGGCCAATGACATAATGTATTTTTCCTACTCAATTTAGCAACAAAACACCACTGTATTTGCAAAGTTACTGCTTTCTATGTTTGGTTGTTTCCTCTATCCTTTTCCCCCTTCACTTTTTCCCAATATTAAGAAGTACATTTTATGCCAAAAAAGGTGTATTCCAATAAAATCTTATATCGAGTAAAAAAATACAAGGCATTTTCTAAGACATTATCATTAATTATGTCAATAGGCACTTTAGGACACCCCACACTCTTTCCTAGCTCTTTCCCCTGTTTTTATAGAAATTTTAAGAGCAAGATTTATATTATAAATAAATGATTTTTAAAAGAGAAGAAAATCCACTAGCACTATCTACTGCATAAATGCAGTCAATTTTATCTAAGTCACCTACACATCTCAGAAAAGTATTTTGATATTATTAACTCATTATATTCCTTACCTTGTCTGGGAGTTATGTGACATATAAGATAACCATTTCATAAATAAGAAACTGAGGCCTAAGGTTATGAGTGACTCAGTTGTAAATCCAGGAAAGGCCTATCTTTATCTCAGTTATCTTCTTTCTTCTTATTCTGATACCAGGTAATTAAACATTTGTATATGCCTAGAATTGACTTTCTCCTTTTTCATCACTCAATCCCCAATACCAAAAAAAAAAAAAAAAAAAAGTCCAATGAGAAGGGTTGTTTGCTATAGTGGAAAGTACCCTCAAATTAGATCTAGATGCTGTCTCTACCATCTGGAAAATCTTGAGTAGTGTCATCTGCTCTAAGTTGGGATTGACATTAGGAACAACTCATAAAATATACAAAGGATTCTTTCCAACCTCTTCCCCACATATTGTAGAGAGTTATGCAGACCCAAAGTCCACAAACTACTACTAATCATGCCTTGGCTGAATAGATAAGTTCTTTCCAATGTTCTATTCAGATCCACCTGCCTCTTTAGATACCTTTAAAGAAACAGAATTTATAGAATTGAGTAGAGCATGGTCTACTGATTAAAGAGGAAACCCAGGCCACTCACCCACATGGGGTCACTGAGGTCCGAGTCTTGCATGCGGATACAGTCCATGCTAATCTCAATCTTGTTTGTTGCACCATTTTCTGATGGTTCATCCACAAAGTTCAAGTCAATGGGCTGAACTGAACATATAGGCCTAATATAATGGAAAGAAAAAATGTGTGTTAGCCAATGGGAAGGGACTAAAATATAATCACTAGGCTGGTAAGAATGAGTGCTTTCTATTTCAAAGTTTGCAAGGCTCACTACTTGCTGAGACTCAGGAGAGTTTGAATCCTGGCTCAACCTTTACCAGATATATAATTTCAAGCAGTTCAAATCTAAATCTTATTTGTTAAATGGGAATCATGACCCCTGCACTCTTCAAAGAATTGCTGGATGGAATGAAGAACAGAAGAGATGGATCAATGATAAAGCATTTTATACCCTATCCTGCATGTCCTCAGTGCTCTGATATTCTCCTCAACTACCTCCTTATTTTATTCCACTTATTCAAACCTACTTTTAATAAAAAACTAGTAATATTTTTCATAGCAATATAATAATGATCAACAAAATTGGGTGTTTTACCTTTTCAGGCAATAACTGCTTTATAACATTGGATAAGTCTTCAAGACAAAGGGGTAGATTTTGAGCACCAGAAAGAAATGATTTGGGGTAATTCAGGAGATCCTTTTAGATTTTCCAAAAATTTCTCTCTTTAGAATAATAATGATCTTTTGGTATTGGAAAATGAACAAACAACCACAGGGTTTGAACACAGAGATAATATTGGAGGCAAGCAATTTTCCTGACAACATTAATTTTTTACTAATTCTAGAAACACACCCTAGTGAGTTATATTTGCACTATCCACATTTACCTATATTTAATGGTTCGAATACAATGTACTCTTGCTTATTTGATACTTACTGTTCCAGAAAATCCCAGATATGCTGGAAAACCTCTGGACTAAGGAATTCACTTGTCTGTGTGCTCTGGGACATGGTGGATCGGTAATAACTTTCTTTCCAAGAGAAATGCGCTGGGGTTTCTACAAAGCTTAAAAGGACAAAAATGAAGCTAGGATTATATTTCTGCATTTATGATACAGGATATTTAAATTAAAGCATATTGTATCAAAACATCAAGGAAGTCTATAAAATCACACAGGTATATATAGTACATTTTTCAAGTTGCATAATGATGTTTCTTTAGGAAGCACTGTGGATCCATTTGGCTATAAAATCAGACAGACTTCCCATGCTAGACAATCAAGCCTTTTATCAAATTCGTCTTTCTTAATTAATAATGTTATTATGTGCTATCGTTCCCCAATCCAACATCTGTGTTCTGCAGATTTCAAAAAGAAAATAAACATTCCCTCATTAAATTTGACAGCAAATCTGACCTATCATTAAACCCATTTTATAAGTGTCTCAACTGCTTATCCTGCCTCCAGCAGGTAAGAAGTAGAATCAGAAAATAGAAAAGAGCTCAGAGAACTTCACCTTCAGGTTAATCATCTCTCTCATAACTAAAATCTTAGCATCACACTCAAGGACAATAAACTCAAACTTCTGGACCTAAACTTTCATTTTTAATCACTAGCTCCTTTGATGTGTGTGTGTGTGTGTGTGTGTGTGTGTAGGTGGTATTTCTAAATTGGAGTTTAGAATACTATGTTAGACTAAGGGATAAGCAAGCAATTGAACACTTTGCAAATTAATAACATTTTTGTTTGCTTCATTTTGCTCCTGGATCTTCATATTTTTTTACTTAAGTATTTTTTTTTAAACTCTCACCCCCACACATCTGAAGTGAAACACCAGGTTTCTCAGGTAACGCAGTCTCCAAATCTGAATATTTACATCTGAATATTTATGTGCAAATCATCTTAGTAGTGATTAACTGTAATGATCAGTGGACTGATTTTTACCCCAGGACAAAATTAGCTAAGCTTTTAATCATTATTGCTCATATTATAAAGAGTCATAGTATCCTAAGACAGTTAATCATCATCTTAAATTTTCAAATATATGTTACGGTCTAGTAAGAGAAGATAATAATATTGGATTTATTAATAATGATTTCTAAGCTACCTGAAACAGTACATTCATCTGCTCAAATTACATATATAGAGAACACCTATTATTTTCCAGGGAGCATCATGGATATTAGAAATAAAAAGTGAATCAGGAATGTCTCACACCTCCGGGAAGTCACAGTGTAGAAATAAGGCAGGAAAACAAGCCTCTGATAAAATGGTTAACAGTATAGCCAGTACTGGGAAAACATAAAAATTGAATATATAACCTTATCTGTAGGACCAAGGAAATTAACAGATGATGAGGAGAAACTAGCCAGGCCAGGTAAAAACCAAAGGTATGGAGTGGGCATTGTGTAGCAATAGCATAAACAAAATACTAAAATGGAAAATAGTTTGGTGAATGTGAGAAAATGGCAAGTGACTATGTTAGTAAGGTACAAAAGTTTGGAACAGATAATGTTGCAGGATGGAGCAACAGAGAAACGTAGAAACAGATGCTATCTTAAAAAGTGTTTGTATAATTCAATACTTGTATTGAAAGATTTTTAAATGAACTTTTTGAGATAGCTGTATATTTGCATGTAGTTATAATAAATAAAAACACAGAGAGGTGTCTTGTATCATTTAGCCAGTTTTCCCAAGGGCAGCATCTTGTAAAACTATTGTACATATCACTACATGATAATGACATTGATAAAATCCACCAGTCTTATTTAGAAATTCTTAGTCTTATACTCATTGTATGGTGTGAATTTCATTCTATATAATTTTATCACATATGTAGGGTAGTATATCTACCCCCATGCTATTAATTAAAGGATTTAATACATGAGATGGACACACATTTAGAATATGCTCTGCATTGATCCATGTGGAAGATCTATGGAGGAATGATTTATATAGCATGATAGTTCAAAGTTAAAGTGGGTTATTTAGGAGGTTGTTTTACCAATCGAACTAAAGACAATAGTAGCACAGAATCAGCATGGGTGGAGAAGTTGGAGACAAATTAAATCATTAGTGAAAAGGGTTAAATAAGTATGGGTTTATTACTGTTGGAGAGAAATGAAATAGTCAAGCATGTTTCCAGCTTTTTTGAACAGAGGGACTGATGATTCCACTGAAGACAGTTTGAAAATTTGGCTTGGAGAGGAAGGAGATGCTGAGTTGCATGTGGAGTTTGAGGTACCTATGGATATATAAAAAATAAATTTGCCTGTTTAATAAATCTTAAACTTTAGGCAGAAGAATGGGCCTGATGTTTAGAAACAGAAGTCCTTATCACAGGATGAAAACGAATCCATGAAGGTGGACACAGTGATCTAGGCAGAATATCCAATGAGGAGAGGAGGGACACCATTTGGAGAATCTACGACCTGGCTAACTAAGAAGTGTAGGGTCTAAAACAGTAATAAAGTTATCAACACTACCAAGGGATTTAAGAAGATAAGACCTGAAAAACAGATTTGACATGAAAAGACCATTAGCCACGTTGGTATTAGTACTTTCTGTTTATTAATGATGGCACAAAAATTTCAGTGATTTGAGGGATATACAAAGATATGAAGAAAATGTTCTTTTTTTTCAATTTTTGTTTGTTATTATGAATGGACAGAATGCCTTTATTTGTTTATTTTTATGTGGTGTTGAGGATAAAACCCTGTGACTCATATATGCTAGGCAAGTGCTCTGCCACTGAGCTACAGTCCCAGCCCAAAGAAATGTTCTTTTGATATAGAGTTATTATGCCCAAAAAGGTAAATCAAAAAGAATGAAAAATTAAAAGATATTGGAAAGAAAAGGAATGTTGTGGAGAAGGATCTTGGAAGAGGCGGGCAGGAAGGAGTTGATGGCTTAAGTGGAGAATATGGTATTGAATGAAAACCCCTGGCTCCCTCATTCCAAGAGGAAGGAAAAAAGACAAGATGACATGTGGATTTATATGTTTTTATAGAAGACAAATAGAAGTCATGGCTGATGCCTTCAGTTTCTTGATGAGGCAGAAGGTAGGCAAAGTTAGTTGAAATGGCAGGGTCAGTCACTGAGTGGTTGGAAGAGAAAGGTAAGGGTTTAGGGTGGAGTTGATTAGGAAATGTGACTTTTTCATGGCCTCAGTGTTCTCAGTTCTGTGTTTCTCTCTGGTTTCTATCAGCTATTGAAGTAGGGAAAGACACAGGAGAAAGCACCATACCTATTATTCCTCTGAATAGGTTGTCAGGAAACTGAAATCTAGTATAGGGTCCAGACTTGAGGGGAGGGGAAGAGAAATGAGGACAGAAATGGATGAAAGGGAACTAGAAGGTTTTATGAGGTTAAAGAACAGATACATAAGAGAATGAAACGAGAAAGTCAAATGATGAAAATGGAAGTTAGTGTCCCTCTCAAGACCACATCTAGAAAATGTACCTATAATTAGAAGAGCATCTTGAAATCCACTATCTTTAAATTAAAGGGTAAGTTAATTTTATTTTATTTTTAGAAGAAGGGCAGACTTGATTTATGTATTGCAATTAGTAAGTAGAAAGGAAGTGGAAAATAATGGAAGTGGAAAATAATTTACAGAAGTGAAAATTATAAAATACTTAGATGACACTTTCAAATGTGTTTGATTTGCACTAACATTTATCTTTAGACTAAACTGAAGTAGAAATAAATAGGAAAAATAAAAGTAAAGACTGTTCCTAAGCAATGGTAAAAATGAATTATCCAAACCCCAGAATGCAAATCAACTTTCATGTGAGAAGTTATGTACATGACTCCCAAGTCCATTTCCAACACCCAAAGACCTAAGTACCCAAAGCATCCAGGACCTTGCAGCCTAGCATCCAGGCAAGCAGTCGAAAATAAATGGAGCAACACAAATTGGATTCTCAGCAATTGCATTATCCAGTGTGTGATTCCATATGACAAATATAAGAGTTTTTAAGTTGGCAGATATTTAATTGTAGTTTCTAAAGAGATTGATAGTAACTGTGACCTAGGTCTTACATAACAAAAAAGCATGGAACAGATTCAAAAAGAGGCAAACAGAAGACACTGTAGTGTTTTCTAGAGTAGAAGAGAGAGTCTCGATTCCACAGCCACACGCCACTTCTTACACAGATCTCCACAGCAAAGTTCTGGTTTCTCCCTATGCCATTAATTTATGTGGCTCCCACCCCATTTCTGTCTGACTCCCAAAGACCTTCCTTGTATTTAATATCGCTTCTAGCCAGCGATGAAACCTTGGGTGATCCCCCTACACTCTTCCAACCTCAGCTTCCTAGAAAGCGACACAGGGTGAGCATCTGTACCCTGCTATGTTTCCACTCTACCCCATCCTCAGTGCCCTCTTCTCCAAAAGTACTTTATAGACCCTTATTTGAACTATACTCTTTCTCCTTTGAACTTTCCCAAACTTTTGCTTTACCTCATCAATGCTAGTTTATTCTATTTTGCTTGTATAACAATTAATCTACTGTAGAGGATTTTAACTAATTCGACGATAAAATCCCTCTCAAATCCGTCTTGTAGTTTTATGGCTGCTTGAGGCTCTACTGGCATGACCAAGTTAGTTAATGTATTTGAACCTTGGTGTCTTCAACTCTGCTTCCTGCAGAGGGTGGTTGAGAGGCTGACTTAAAATAATGTGCTATTCATTTTTTATATAGTGTCTGGTCACAAAGGCATTGGTTCTCTTAGATCAAGTGCTACATAATTTGTACCTGATAAATTAAACTAATAAGGATTTATTAAAAAAGGTCTGTTAAGGTTGTAATCATGCCATATGAAAGTAATTGTATTAGAAAACTTGTATCATCCTTCATTTCTCGTCAGTCAAACCATCCTCCATCTATGGCCTTGAGCCAAAAATGATGCTCCCATTGCCTCTCTTTATTCTGGATCATCTTTGTCTCAGGCTTGCCACATCAACTGGCAACTTTCCCCTTAGGGCCTTAAGTTCTCAAAGAGGATTTATTACAAACAAACAAACAAAAACAAAAACAAAACCCCAAAACAACAAAACAAGCAA